AATATAACGTAGAGATAAAATTCAAATGTTAAATAAATCCGTAAATGCATCTTGCATACAATCCTTGTTTCTAAAGGACTAATCTATTCTATAAACAAATCCTGCATGTAATTCTTATTGTTTCTAAAGGTATAATATATTCTATAAATATATCTTACATGCAGTCCTTGTTTTCAAAGGATCAGTTTATTCCGTAAACATATCCTGCATATATTTCACGAGTTATCTTGCACGTAAGAGCAGATTCTATATATTTGTATAGCCAATAAAATTATTTTGTAATGGTACAATGTTTTCTTGCTGCTTTTGAGAGGACAATCCATTTTGCAAAGTTTATTCCGTAAATAAATTGTATATTCTCTTGTTGCTTTCAAAGGAATAATCTACTCCGTGAACGAATGTTGCGTGTAAATCAGCAGAATGTGTAATGAAGCACAAATTATATGCTTTAACATCTATTCCTTTATTGTACTGTAATGTTACTTGAGATACAAATATTACGAATAAAATTAAGGATATGCTAAATATAATATATGTATAATTGTTTCTCGTGTCAAATGTATACGTGTGCATGTGAGAGTATATCCTAGCTTTATATCTTAGCTTTATTTGTGTGTGTGTGTGTGTGTGTGTAATACTTATATCTCAAGAATCATTACAATACAGAAGTAAATATTAATTTTTTGTAGATGCATATATCTAGATTAGTTAAATGAAATCTTATAATACATTTCATTCAGTCGACTTCTTATATAAATATCAACATTTGTTACATAGATAAAAAAAAAGTGCAAAAAATCTTACCAATATTCTTTAAGAAAATTTGAAAAATAATTACAAATATAACGTAGAGATAAAATTCAAATGTTAAATAAATCCGTAAATGCATCTTGCATACAATCCTTGTTTCTAAAGGACTAATCTATTCTATAAACAAATCCTGCATGTAATTCTTATTGTTTCTAAAGGTATAATATATTCTATAAATATATCTTACATGCAGTCCTTGTTTTCAAAGGATCAGTTTATTCCGTAAACATATCCTGCATATATTTCACGAGTTATCTTGCACGTAAGAGCAGATTCTATATATTTGTATAGCCAATAAAATTATTTTGTAATGGTACAATGTTTTCTTGCTGCTTTTGAGAGGACAATCCATTTTGCAAAGTTTATTCCGTAAATAAATTGTATATTCTCTTGTTGCTTTCAAAGGAATAATCTACTCCGTGAACGAATGTTGCGTGTAAATCAGCAGAATGTGTAATGAAGCACAAATTATATGCTTTAACATCTATTCCTTTATTGTACTGTAATGTTACTTGAGATACAAATATTACGAATAAAATTAAGGATATGCTAAATATAATATATGTATAATTGTTTCTCGTGTCAAATGTATACGTGTGCATGTGAGAGTATATCCTAGCTTTATATCTTAGCTTTATTTGTGTATGTGTGTGTGTAATACTTATATCTCAACAATCATTACAATACAGAAGTAAATATTAATTTTGTGTAGATGCATATATCTAGATTAGTTAAATGAAATCTTATAATACATTTCATTTTATTTATCTTATAATAAGTATATTAAAGTACTTCATTAACGTTTTGAAGACAAATTAGGGAAACATAGAATCAATAAGAATTAAATTAGATTGCATCACTTAAAAGTGTTTTTGCTGATTTGCAAGCAGAGTTTATTTAAGAGTTTCTTCTCTTTTTCCCTCTTAGTCCCTCTCCTTTCTCTCCCCTTCTTTCCTTCCTCTCTCCTCACCCTCCCCTTTTGCTCTCTCCCCCTCTTTTTCTCCCTCTCCCTTTTTACCCTCTCCTTTATCTCCCCTCTCTCTTTCTCCCTCCTCCCTTTCTCCCTCCATTCCTCTTCTCTCTTTCTCCCTACTCTCCTTTTTTCTCTTACCCTCTCTCCATCTCTATCTTTTTTTCTCTTTTTCTCTTCCTTTCTACCTTCTTCACTTATTCTTTCTTTCTGTCTCTTGTTAATCTGCATGCAAGATTCGTATAGAGAAAATATTATTCCTTTAGAAGCAGTAAAAACTGTATGCAAGATTTTTTTACAGAACAAACTTTGCACAATAGATTTGCAATGAAAGAACGTTTTTTTTCAAAAGTAGCAAGAAAACATTTTATTATTACAAAACAACTTATATTGTATAACTGCGGAGAAAACAGAAATAAATTTAATTGATGAAATTCTTATATTCTTATAAGAATAGAACCTATCTTTCAATGCAAGATACCTTCAATGTAATAGAAATCAATATCACCTCTCAGCAGCGTTCTGACTGATCTGTATGCAAAGTTATTTATGAAATAAATTATTTTTTGATGCTTTTTTTATAAGACTGACTGTAAAAAGAAGATTTATTTACGGAATAGATCATTTCTTTATAAACGGGAAGGATTGTATGTAAGATACATTTACGAGGAATAGAGATTGATTTTTTTTTACATAGTAAAAACTTGTCTGGGAGAAATACTGCGTTGATGATTTATTAATAATAAATAACTACTATTTTGATGTGATATAACAAGTATCGTAAATATAATTTTATTTGATAATTTTGTAATAACGCGAATCTGTGCATTGTTGATGTTATCATAAGTCCTTTCTCCCGGCGGTGTGCTGGGTAATAATATGTAGACGAAACAATACTGCTATGGAATTTCACGGTTTCTGAGTGAAGTGGAGATAACCTCGCTATTACGTTCACGGACCCGAACCGCGCGCTATTAAGAGGTTCCAGTGTATTAAGAAATCGGTCGACTTATTGTTAGCCGTTATTGAGAGATTCAATAATCTAAAATCTAAGCTATCTTAGTTGGACGGCTCATGTATAGATATATGATTTGCAATTGCGCGTGACTTGGTGCGAGACACAATCATGTTTCTTAATAAATCTACTTATATTTTTATATGAAATTATATATATATATATATTGTGTAAATATATTCCTTTCGTTATCCTGTACATAAAAATATAAAATAAAATTATATCTTATATCAAAATATATCTCTTATGATTTTATATTTTAATATTTTTATGATAAATAACTAGAAAAAGCAATTTATGTAAAAGGATATGTAAAAGGGATTTATTGGTCACTCGTGTGCACATATCGTTTACGTGTATATACATTTTCCATTGTTACAGCACGACATATGCTGTCCGAACGTGCATCAATGCAATATTTATTATATACTTCGGTACAATTTTGCATTTTATGGCAGAAATCTTTTTCCTATTTTCTTTTATTGTCTTCATAAAAATGTTATTTTTGTTCAATTCAAGATTGAATTGCATAGTAACAATTCATTATATGCTTATTAGATTCAACATTGACAATTATTTTCTAATTGATAATTAAGCGATGAAAAATCAATTTTAATTATTAATATAAATCTTATTATTAATATTTAACTATTATTATTTAACTATGAAATAAGATTATTTTTAATTAAAAAATAAGAAATTTGTGAAAGGCAAAAGATTGTGGAAATGTCGCACGAAACTAACGAATTTTGTAATGATAATACTTGTGCGATGCATTGATTTTTGTAAACTAATAATAGATGTGAAAAAGAGACTACATACTGATACAATAAAAAATATCGATAAATCAATAATAAATATATTGTTATGCATTATTTCATATAACAACAAAAACCGAAATTAATTATTCCCCAAAGAGCATTATATTTCATATATTAATAGTTTAAACTTTACTCTATCTTGAAGCTGTCTTGGTATCTGTAAGGTATCTTGAAGTTTATCACGTAACTTGCACTTTCACATTCATTATTGCATAGCGATGTATAAAAAGCCTGAATCTAACATATTTAGATTAATAAAAATTATATATTCTCTATATGTTCTGTTATTATGTAACATAACATGAAGCTCATGACAGCGAGACATGTTTTAAGTACGTAACTTTCTCTCGATTTGACGGCTTGTATTCTCTTACGCCATACGTAAGACTAATTCAAATAATAAATAATAATCGATGATTTAAATATTTTGATCATGTTGCATTATTTTATTTATGTACATAAAAGAAGCGATAAATAAAATTAAAATAAACGACATAAAGACTAATAGGTATTATTATATCGATTAATATTTGTTTCGATATATTTTCGTTGATTTAAGAATATTTTTTAAAAGATTACATATATATGTGTGTGTGTGTGTACGACATGTACACACGTTAAATTCCTCAAGAGGAACGGAGATAACTATGTCCATTGCATTGTTCTCATTCCGTGGCTGCTGTATTCGGTGAAACGCGGTAACGCCTTCCTAACATCTGGCCGTTACTATGAAATGTCAAACATTGCCCATTGGCATAACTCACTTGCAACTATCTTGATTACGAATATATGCTTTTCTGAAATTCCGTCGCGCATTCTGATCGTTAATGTGATATTGCGATGATGTTCAGTTGTTGGATCGACACATGATAATTCAATGGAGTAAAAGTAAATGCTAAAGAAATATATACACGTTCACACGCGCGTGTTATGTATTATGTATACATAACATATACATTATATATATAGTGCGTATTTTTTAAATATTTCTCAGATATGCAACTTATACAACTATATATTTATTATATTATTTCTGTTTCTTATATAAAGTTTATAATACAAGTTTATTACATAATATATATGCACAGAATAAAAATATAAAAATATTACGCTATCTTCTTTTACTTACTTTTTTACTTTATACATGATCACATAATTGCATAGTAAATATAAAAATTCATGCGAGAAAATATTAAGAATTTTAAAAATATGGTGATATTTGATAATAAGAGAATTTTGTATATACAAGAATTTTTAACTCTATTTAATAAAATATAATGATATTGATAATAAGAGATATTGTATATACAAAAATTTAACTGTATTTAATAGCTATTATTGATTATGGCAGTTATTAAATAATTCTGATTTCTTTTGGTTACAGAGAAACGACAATCTCGACTTATCTTTAAACATTCCGCAACATCATCAGACCTCGTATCATCACGACAGCTACAATATGTCTGACCAAGTGAGTTAATCGCTTGTTTATCGATAGCTTGCAATTTTATTTATATTAGAGTAACTGAAAGATTATTTTCATTTTTCTATATACATATATCTGGCGCTAGACTATGCGCGTTTCTCGATTCATAATTCGTGAATTTTACTGAAATTCGTTCTTTGCTATTGTGATTCTCCATTTATTCGCGCGAGCCGTAGTTAATCATTCGTGATTCGTGATTTGTCATCGTAGTGAACATAGTGTAATTTATCGCGATGTTTCCACAAGCATTTACGCAGGTGCTTCCGTCTAATTTCAATAAAATATAAATGACACAATGTCTTTATTTTGATTTCTTACTTCACAACATGATCCATACAAACCACAAATCGAATGCACTGATTCATGCCCTTTGAATTTATTGAAAAACTGCACCGGTGGCAAATTAACGTGAATGACGAATCATGAATGCGAATTTGACGAAATTTTTCTTTACAATTTTTCTCTATTATTTGTGAACTACATAACTCGCGAATCACACTTTGCGAATACGCGCATAATCTATAGCGCCAGCTTATTTTTTTATTATCAATTATATACATATATCAACTGCATTGCTTATTTCGCAAGAAGAGAAATCATTTATATAATGCATGAAAATTAAGCAATTCATCCGAAACTGTAATTACGACATATAAGTGAGATACAAAATGGAAATTGAAATAACGGAATCTGTCTTATAAGTCAGTGGGCCAGTTCAATGAAAATAATGATGAGCGGTTGAAAAAAAGATGTATGGATGTATGAAAATAATAATGAGCCATAAGAAAAAAAAATAGGAGGTGAAACTGAGAAATGTGTAAACCGTTGATAAAAAATGTGTATATCTATTATTTAATAATATCTAGTAATGCTCGATTATTGTACTTTTCTATATTCTTTAATGTAATGCTTTTGTTATATCCATTAGTAATGCCTAAGAAAAAATGCCTGCATTTTTACGTCTTGCAAAAATAGCAGATTGCTCAAAAAAAGATGAAAAGATATTTAAAAAAAAAAACCACTCTCTCGCCCATTAATACTGAATAATGTCATACAGTAATATCCAGTTACGAGGAATTGCTATGAAATATTTAACGTAATGTTCATCACAACGTCCAAGAAATGTTCAATATAAAGCCCACCTTTTAAAATTAAAAATAACTTGAAAGTAATAAAATAAAAAATAAAATAAAAACAATACCTAGTAATGTTTCGAACGTATATGCCCTCGGCAGTTTATTCTCCACATAGAACAGATATTGGCGATCAATTACAAAATATCAAATTTAAGTGGAGTGAATATTGACAATCAATTACGAAATATCAAATTTAATAGACAAGTTAATCGTTTTAATTTCATTAGAATAAAAATAATTCGGTATTATTTCCATCAAAATTTTTTTAAATTAATTCTTTTATTTCATCATTAAGAGATTCTTTATTAAGAGCTTTGATTTTGACTATTTGATTTGCAAAGCGATTTTGTTTAAATACGTCTAATTTAATGGAACGCCATTAAACGATCGCTTAAGAGAATCCGGACAAAGTGTTTTACTTTTTTATTGTCGATTTATACATTTTCCGATTTCTCTTCTCATTTAAACTATTTTGACTAAAAAACTAGATTAGCATTGCAATTTAATTTAATGGCCGGTTACGCTTATATGATTCAAAATAATCTGCTTTCGTAGCGCATTTTTTACGGTAACGAATTTAGAATAAATTAGACCTGTGGTCTAATCGTATATCGCGATCATGATAAAAAGAATATATTTGTGTAAAAAATATATATGAGAATAGAATAGAGAGCACACATGGAAAGTTAGTGAACGCAGTCATGTTCCGAGCGAATGTAGAAACTCATTCAATCAGTCGCCTGTCGCCCAATTCAATCTAAACGCCTGGTAATTGCCAATCTGCAATAAATAACCATCAAAATTTAATTTTGTTGTTTAGCGTTGTTTAAATTTTTTCATTTCAATTTTGCGATATTAGACATAGTAGATTGGTTGATAAGAAATGTCCTAATATTCCCGTAGAATAATTTATAACAATAGAATTTATGTATTTTTAGACTTTTTTTCATTGTTGCTTGTTCAATCGCATTTTTTCTATTATATTTATTAATTCACAATATATAGCAATCTCTCGTATCGACATCAAGATATTTGCTTTTTTCTCCGCAGCTGATCTCTTATTTCTATACTATCAATTTCTAAGACACTCGCAATCATATAATTTTACGCTTTCAATGATGATTGATATTCTAATAGCTATCAATTTTTATTTTTAAACTTTCTTTTTTAATGTTACAAGAGTGCTAACGTTTTGTTTCTGTCTAATATTACTTTTACTTTGAACATTGTATATACGAAAGAATTTATTGCACACAATCTGTATTGAAATAATATGCAATTTATATAGAAGAGGAGGGGAAGCGTGAGTTGCATAACCAGGAAACCATCTAAATAATATTTCTTCAGAAAGAAGAACCAAGTTGTGAGAGTCGCGCACAAGTTTTAACGAGATGGCGGAACGAGTTTAGTTCACAGCGAGGAAAAGAAAAACGACGATGACAACGACGACGACGAGGACGACGAAAGGAAGGATGATATTTCTTCGTGCTTCGCGCGTTTCATCAATAGTCCCAAACTATCACTATCCTTCTTTACCTCTTTTCTTCCTCTAATTCTGCATTTACCTGCGATTTGATATGCTTTGCGAATTTAATATCAATGTTAGAAGTGGAAGCAAAAACGGGCGATGATAAAGCGTAAAGTGTCCAACGGCATTGGGCACAATGAAATGTCGATAAACATTTAATTAACGATAATTTTGTATTGTAAATAATCGAAAATGCTCGGTTTTCGTGGTAGTTTGGCGTAATGATTAGGGCACTGCATACGAATTAGATCATAATTCCACCATGAGTATCGCGAGTAATAGTCTCACGAGCACGTAAACATAAAATGAATTTTGCGATAAACGATCCGCGGAATAGGTTGCAATAAAACAGTTAATGGCATGTATAAATCTGATTTATGCAACGACTGCCTCGTTCTATTGCATCACACGATCACGTGAATTACATGATGCAGTTATTCAGATACTGAATCAACACTATTGAATCGTCACTTAAGCACTTTACAATACTTTAATAATGTGGATATTTAATAAAATAAAATGGACGGAGACGTGGGAAATAGAGGAAAGGGGAGTAACATGATCAAATAGATAAGATATCGAATTATTAATTTTTGTAAAATAATAACGGATGACGAGAATGATGCTCAACTTAGAGGCTTTTGTAAATAATTTCTTGTTTAATTTTAATCTGTCAACGAAAATAGACAATATAATAAAAAATATATGTTGAATGTACCCGTATGTGTGTAGTTTTTTAGTGTTTGTTCATAGCGAATTACATAATTATAGTAAAAACTTTCACTATCTTTATGAAATCACTGTATAGTATAGCTGAAAATGCATATAATAACGTATTAATATTTTCCACATTTTATTTTTTACATATAACATTTTTTGATACAAATAAATGTAGTGACTGTAATAAATATTTGATTTAAATTGATATTTAAATTGATTTTAAATGCTTCTAAATAATTAATAATTATTTTTGTTTTAATATTTTAGTAATTTTTGGAGTCATATAAATATTTCGTGTTCTATTTTTTTTTTATTTGTATCTTTAAATATTATATCAAAATAATATAAAAAGCTTATTACAATAAATTTTTTGTTATAAAAAAATCAATTTTTAACTTAAAGCTCGGCTTTTTGTCTAAAAGTCATCTTATCTGCATATAGGAATACGATGACGAAATTGTCACGCCTTTAAAAAATCTAAATTTGAAAAAATTTTAATTTATTTATCAATTTTTCAATTATTACAAATGATAAACAAAGCTTTAGTGAATCTGAAAAAAATAGATTATTATTTTTACGTTATCATAGAAATAATGAAAAATCGATATACCTTAAAGTCGCCATCTTATTCCCATTTCCCCTATCTGTATTATAGCTACATCGACAATCGAGAGACAGGCATATTTCTTCAAAGGAAAATATTCTTCCTGATACTATTAAATTCAATTTTAAAACTTTTATTCCCTCTACCATCACGCGTACATTATGATAAATTAATTTTTCTTCCCCTTTGTGAAGGAGAATAAATTGCTAAAAGGATTCTGAACGATATAATGCTATTTATCATCCGTTATATAAAGGACAGTTAAAATTGATTCTCTGATTACATTTTTTTTTTTTTTTTAAATATATATATTATACATCGATTTCTCATTTTCGTTGAAAAGGAAGGAAAGGTCTTCTCCCTTTTATTTTTATCTCTGTTTCGATCGTTAATGTTAAGAAGAAGGAACCAAAAGAAATATCTTTTCATTAACAATATCTTGCTAAGGAGGGAAAGTTGTTTGCAAATCTGCAAACATATTTTATTTTATAAGGCAATATATGTACTTTTTGCTTTTTATGGAGTTTGTAACGATCAAATTTATAATTTATTTGTTTCAGACGTTTCATACACCGAGTTTCGGTGATGAGGACTTTGATATACCAACCATCCATCCTCATTCGCATCAGCAACAACAACAACAGCAACATCAACAACAACAGCAACATCAACAGCAACAGCAACATCAACAACAACAGCAACATCAACAGCAACAGCAACAGCAACAGCAACATCAACATCAACAACAGCATCAACAACAGCATCAACAACAACATCAACAACACGACTCCATGCAAGCATATGGTCAGCCACAGGTATGCTTCAATGACGATTCGACAGGTATTGAAATCGTAAAATTTAATATATACCTACATACATATATTCCTGTACGTACTTATTTATCAAATTAGCAACGTACACGAACACATATTTTGTATGCGTATAGTGTTCGTTGCTTTTCGCTCAAAATGAAAAATATCAGACAAAAAGTTTGTAGGCTTAAGATGTGTTCTTAGTTAAGATGTGCAAACACAAATTCTCTCTTACATAAAATTTTTTTATCAAATGAGAAGCTTTTTACGCCTAATATGCACTTATATACATACATACATTTCTCACAGATGTATATTCGCGAGCAATGTACACAAGCAATACTTGAGTACGCGGATAAATATTTTATACACGAACAATGTCTATTGTCTTGCACGAAGTGGAAAATATTAAATAAAAATCTGTAAAGTTTAGTATATACCTATGTATAAAATCTGCGAACAATACATATGCTTCATTTTTATGCTACAAGTGCTGAGAGTGTTTGATTAATTAATTAAAAAAAATCTTTGTCACGATTGGTCAAACACTTCCAGCACTTGTAGCACCAAACAAACGCAATCGTTAATGATGTCCATACCATAGTATGTGTGTGTGTGTATATATATATATATGTGTGTGTGTCTAAAGAATATGTGTGTGTGTGTGTGTGTGTGTGTGCGCGTGCGTGCGTGTGCGTGTGTGTGTGTGTGTGTATTCTAAATTGTACATTTACAAATGAAAATTAAAAATATTCTTTAGGAATCAACTTTATAATAGAAAATATATTCTTGTATTAAATAGGACATGATTATGATAACAAGCCTGGTGCATGGCGCGAAAGAGACAACAATGATAAAGGATTTAAAGAAAAAAGTGGCTTCAGAGATGATAGTAAGGATAGAGACTGGAATCGTTATAGCGATAGAGGAAGAAGCAAAGATCGGGATGGGGACCGTATATATATATATATATATATATATATATATATATATATATATATATATATATATATATATATATATATATATATATATATATATATATATATATATATATATATATATATATATATATATATATATATATATATATATATATATATATATATATATATATATATATATATATATATATATATATATATATATATATATATATATATATATATATATATATATATATATATATATATATATATATATATATATATATATATATATGGTATTGGTATTAAGTCTGATAAGGTTGCTGATAAGGGCAAATGGTTTAGAGGTTTGAGAAGTTGAGTCGAAAAGCCATTTTAGTTCACATATAGTTGCGTTTGTGTGAATAACGTGATTTATACATTGAGTATTGTATGGATAGTGTTTTTCGTTCATTTACTCGTTATGTGCCTTTAACAAAATTTAAGGGAAACTCTGTTTGACCCCGAAAATATTTTTACTGCCTTCTTCATAATTAAAATAAACTCTTAAGGTTTGGTTAAAAAATACTTTATGTAAAAGGATTTGTTTGCAGACACATCTCAATTTATAGATTTTTGTCTAGTGTTCTTTTATTTCGAGCGAAAATATAATAGACGTTATCTACATACGAAATATTTATATAGTCTATAAAGGTAAAAAAATATGATTTTTTCAAATCAAACAATTTAAAATTTTTTTGGGAACATAACAATTAATTGTAAATATGGATGGAAAACATTGCCTGTTGTTGCTACACAATTCGTGGATAGTGATTGTGGATATCATCTACAAACTGTTCATAGATAGTGTGTACGCAGATGTGTACTACGTTTAACAACGCATAATAATATACACACGCTATTACGCGTTGGAGATATGGAAAAAAATGTCGGAATGATGTATCGACCATTTAACAACTTCCGCGTTCGAGCATTATTCATGTAACGTTCAAGACATTATTTTTAGATGTACACTCATCGTGTCTTTTCTCTCTCTCCCTTTAACTTCAAGATGAAGAGATACAGAAATATTCAAACACACACACAGTAGAAATTCTATGATCTTTATCGGAGAGAAAAAACTTCGAGGAAATTAATTCTCGTGATGATTTTTAATGATTTTCAACCATGATATTTATATTAATATCATCAAAAAAAATGTTGTATGTTTTGAATAATTACATAGCTGATGTTTTTATTATGCATATTTAAATTAAAAGTAAAAAAAATTGAATAATATTATCGAACCGATGATAATTAAAAGTTTTTTTTATAAATAATGTAGTTCTGTTTTATGTATTAGTATTATTAGCATTTTATGTATGTTAAATTATTATAGATGATGCAAGGTAATGGTATGCAGCAATCACCAGATAATCTGAATCTGGATGCTAATGGATACCAGCAACAACTCTATTTACAGCAAGAACATTCGATGCAACAAATTAATGTCAGGTAAATATGATTAAAAAATCTCCGAATATTTAGTCACATATATAAAACGAGACAAATTAACATAATCACGTTTCAATTCATTTTTTAATCATCTGCACAATAATACATAAAGAATCAAGAAATGTCATTAGTTAATCGAAATCGTGAAATAATTAATTTGTTAGTCAAAAGTACATACATTAAATATTGTCAATAAAGAAATATTAACAACAATCTCTTACGCCTCTTGAAGAAATCTATAATCTATAAGTTTCTATGCAGAAAATATTCAAACAAATACTAGTAACAGTAGAAAAAGATACGAAAGAGTACATAGTTTAAATATAAAGATAGAACAATGATTGAAAAATTTTGTAAAATTATTAGAATCCAGAAAAAAGAAGAATCATATGCAATCTTATAACTTGGGAAATTCGGCGAAAATTCTACGAATAGAAGATAGCATTAAATTAGCGATATATTTCCTTGTGTGTGATATATAAGGGAAGCATCATGCCTTATCGCGGCGTACTATTTGCATAACTCCAAATTATAGAAGTTTGTCTTACTTTGTTATTGCATGTTGTTTCGCAGCAATTTCAAAAGCCAATTTTAATCGCCGTACTTATAATACATCGTATATTATGCACAATTAGAAATATTTATCTTGTGATCATTTTACAGTATAATAATATGTAAGACAAGCAGAGAAGAGAAGCCCCGCGCGTTATCGCGTATCGTGCGACATAGGCGCGGTGCATAACTATAACACGAGGTTTAAAATTCACTCCTCAAAAATGCAATTTCGGAAAGTAATATTATCATACATGAATAGATTTATCGATAAATACTCTTTGTTTTTTGATGTAATACAAATTTTAAAATTTGCGAAAATAATAATGAAAGATATGAATATGTTGAAAAATATAATGTTTTCGAAAACTCTAAATATATAGCTATGAAGTATATAAAAAGTCATAAAACTTTTGTTTAAAATATTTTTTTATATATCGTGCAGTTTTCATAATATTCAATTAAAATTATGTATACTGAATCCACTTCGAAGAATTACTTCAACCTCTAAACATGCGAGAATATTTATATAAAAAAAACCTGTAATTATATAATACCAAATCAGAACCTGTTATTACGTAATCGTACGATTGCAATTTAGATCGTCGAGATCTTTTTTTAGTGAACTAATGTATTCCGAAATGGAAAGATGACAGGATATCTTTTTAATTCTTCGCTCTTTGTTCAGAGATATCTCAGAGTATCAAGTAAGCATACTATAATTATCGAATTATATATATACACTGCATCTTGTACACTGTAATCAATCTGATTAGAGAGAGAAAAATGCATTGAATAAAAATATTAGACTTATACACGCGCTATCATCAATTCCATGAATCAAAGCAAATATATTGCCAAGAGTTATCTACGTGCAATTATCTTATGTGCATAACATGACGCATAGACTAATCAAGCTCTTATATAGAATGTTGTATTATGTAGTGAGATGTATAAACAAACTTCGTAAACAGATGAACAGAGATAGCATCAACAATTAATAATATGCAACGATAATTGTGTGTGTGACTATAGCTTAACAATTATAAACATAATTAGCGCAAATTCCATAAAATATTAAAAAGAAACTTTATTACGAAATACAAAGCGGCGTCAAATAAAGAAAAAAAAATTGGAAACTTATTTTTCAACGAATTTTTTTCGATATTATTAACTTTATGATATTACAACATTGTAATATCATAAAGTTACGGTCTCTTTACTGCATAATATTATATTTATAAAAATAAAATCTTACAACGATGTTCAGCTGATAGGGAAGATAATGAAAATAAGTACCAAGTCGAATTAGGAAGAGTATAGAAGGCAAATAATATAGAGTAGATCGTAAATAATCCGTGACATAGCCCGACTATATCTCAAAAGTTATTCAATTAGCTTTAAATAGTGAAAATATACTTTAGCCATATACTTATTTATCTTCTTTGGCAGCGTCGTCTTTTGAACTTCGCTCTCAATGTTAAGATTTACGTCGCGATTTGCCATTGTATTATATATTCACAAACTCAATTAATGCTCTTAAACTTTTAATTAAAATCTTAACGCTGTACATGAAGGAATAGTCTGCATTTTCTTTCTATCCGAGAATTAAATTTAACGTTTGTGATATCACTTGCAAATTTATGATTATGTTTTGAGAATCTCGAAAAACATAACAATAACGAATAAACATATAATGAGAATCAACAATACTCGCATTAACAGTCTAATTTACAATTCTAAATTACTCGTGAGCAGATTTAATTTCTTATGTCACATCTCTACTACTATAATTATCTCTCTTCTCTATCTAGAAAAAGTATTTTAGAAGCAAATTTTTTTTTTATCTGTTCACAGCTCCGCATATGGCAGCTCCCAAGATTCATATGCAACAATGAATTCTTCGCGTCAACAACAACACAGTGGTCAACAATTGTTGATGTTACAACAGCAACAACAGCAGCAGCAGCAGCAGCAAGTTCAAATGCAACATATACAGTACATGCATTCCCAGCAGCAACTGCAACAACAACAACAACAACAGCAACAACAACAAATACAATATAGAAGTGTGGTCAACAATTGTTGATGTTACAACAGCAACAACAGCAGCAGCAGCAGCAGCAAGTTCAAATGCAACATATACAGTACATGCATTCCCAGCAGCAACTGCAACAACAACAACAGCAACAACAACAAATACAATATAGAAGCCCGACCGGAGGCAGTCCGACTGCTATGCAAGTGAATAATATCACGGAAACAAATAACAATACTACAACCAGTGAAGATAGCGATGACAGCACTCCGCATTCCGGGATGGTAAGTCAAATTACATATGATATTTATGTACTAGTTGTTACTCGCGTAATTTGCCAATAAATAATAAATAGCAATTTCTAAATTTTTTGGCATTTTACTAAAACAAGCGCGCGCTTTGAAGTCTCCTAAATATTTTTTTATTCCAGATTACGGTGATCAAGCGTGAGCCACCGTCGCCAGAAGCGGCTGATGCTGGAGCGAAAAATCAAAGAAAAGCAAAAGCACAAAAGAAAAAAAAGAAAAGAGATCCTAACGAACCACAAAAGTAAGTAACAATATTGTTTTTATACAATAATAAAAAAATTAAATTGGCATATAATTTGAAGAATCTCGTTTCAAAGACATGCGACTATGAAAGATTTGCGAAAATACTATTACATATACAATGTTTCTTCCTTTTTTTATCTTTAATAATGTATTATTGCATTATTTTATTTTATATTATATTATAATTTTTTATTATAATAAATCAAATAATTAAATAACTGGGGGATTCGCGTATAGATACAATACGGTTCTTCTTGCTGTTGCTGCGCATAACTTGATGTAAGACATTACTGTGTCTCAATATATGTATAGTATGCGTGCGCACAAGCGCATAAATTTCAATATGGTGCCTACTCCCATCTAGAATCCTAAATAAATAGAGAAGCGGGTGCGGCATGGCGATTTCTGATTGGTCGTTCCTCCACCTGATTAAGGCAGCCATATTGAGCTCATAGCAGACGACATGCTGCTACTCAGCATTTTCAGCTGGCATTTAATGCTTATCATCATTTTCAATTGTCAGCATTCAATCACTACATTTATTTAATAAAAAAATATAAAGACTGCAGCATGAGTACTAATATTTTGACTGTTATTATGTCATTCATATCTGGATGACGCGTAACTTTCTGTACGGTGGATGACGGCTTTATTTATCCGATTAAGAATGATTTTATTAAGTATTTATAAAAATTAAGTATAATAAAATAATTAGATGCGTCAAAGCAAAATAACAAAACAAAACTATTTTTGAAACATTATTAAAATATTTTATCATAAGATTATCACGAAAGAACGCGATTCCGGTCTTTGGAATGTTTTCTTTTTTGGATTATTATAATTGTATAATATGTATGTTTTTATATTAATGAGAACATAATATTATATGTTCTATAATATATGTTTTTTATTATTAATGAGAGCATAATATTAAAAATTATATTAAAAATTATATGCATTTTAAATACAATTACTTTTCTAGATCTTATATGTTGGCATTTTATGATTTTCAGACCAGTATCGGCATATGCCCTTTTCTTCAGAGACACTCAGGCAGTGATTAAGGGTAAACATCCAAATGCCAGCTTTGGTGAAGTATCCAAGATTGTTGCATCAATGTGGGATGCATTGGATGTTGAGCATAAAAATGTAAGTATTACAATTTTAATAGTCATATTTTTAGGTACCATTGATAATTATATCAAGTATTTTTCTGTAATTACAATGAATGTCATTGATATTATTATTATGGATTTAATAAATTTTAATGCTATAATTGCTGAAAATTAACATAAATTTTTATGTAGTATTATAAAAAGAAAACCGAGGCAGCTAAGAAGGAATATCTGAAAGCTCTCGCGGCATACAGAGCATCGCTGGTGAGCAAAGGAGCAGGTGAAAATGAACAGAAACAACAAGTACAACAGCCACAGCAACAAATGCAATACAGTGGATACGTACTAATATTTTGACTGTTATTATGTCATTCATATCTGGATGACGCGTAACTTTCCGTACGGTGGATGACGGCTTTATTTATCCGATTAAGAATGATTTTATTAAGTATTTATAAAAATTAAGTATAATAAAATAATTAGATGCGTCAAAGCAAAATAACAAAACAAAACTATTTTTGAAACATTATTAAAATATTTTATCATAAGATTATCACGAAAGAACGCGATTCCGGTCTTTGGAATGTTTTCTTTTTTGGATTATTATAATTGTATAATATGTATGTTTTTATATTAATGAGAACATAATATTATATGTTCTATAATATATGTTTTTTATTATTAATGAGAGCATAATATTAAAAATTATATGCATTTTAAATACAATTACTTTTCTAGATCTTATATGTTGGCATTTTATGATTTTCAGACCAGTATCGGCATATGCCCTTTTCTTCAGAGACACTCAGGCAGTGATTAAGGGTAAACATCCAAATGCCAGCTTTGGTGAAGTATCCAAGATTGTTGCATCAATGTGGGATGCATTGGATGTTGAGCATAAAAATGTAAGTATTACAATTTTAATAGTCATATTTTTAGGTACCATTGATAATTATATCAAGTATTTTTCTGTAATTACAATGAATGTCATTGATATTATTATTATGGATTTAATAAATTTTAATGCTATAATTGCTGAAAATTAACATAAATTTTTATGTAGTATTATAAAAAGAAAACCGAGGCAGCTAAGAAGGAATATCTGAAAGCTCTCGCGGCATACAGAGCATCGCTGGTGAGCAAAGGAGCAGGTGAAAATGAACAGAAACAACAAGTACAACAGCCACAGCAACAAATGCAATACAGTGGATACACGGGCTATGCCAGCAACAATGCGCAAGGAAATGTAACTTATCAGATCTATAGTCCCCAGCATCAACCTTCGTCGCCTCAACAGCAACAGCAGCAGCAGCAACAGCAGATGGCTATTAATAAAAAATCACCCCATCATTTAGCGATGCAAGGAAATCATCAACAACAGGTATTTTTAAACAAATATAACATAGAATTTCTAAAAGAAACATGCATAATAGAGATAGATATATTTTTGATAAAATTATAACGTATGTTATTACATGTACGTTGTTTTTACAACTATACATGTAATTTTATATTTGTTTTTATAGAAGAAATATGTTGCATGCAAAAATTCTAATACATAAATATTTTATTAGCATATTATCCATCACTTCTAAATAAAGCAATCGTCGTTTTGTCTGTCATGCAATTATACATAATAAGTAAAATATTGTTTGTATAAAACTTTTTACTTTTATATTATTGTTTTTTTATAGGGTTTAATGGGCAATGTAATGGTACCACCACATATGACGCAACAACAACAGCAGCATATACAACAACAGATCTCACAACAGCAATACATGCAGGTATAAGTAGATTTATATTTTTCCCTAGTTGAAATAATTTTACAACTTCTTTGTGAAATTGGAAATGATTGTAATATTTTTTTTCTTTTTCATTTTACAAAGTATTTGGGTTTTTATTGTGTCGAGCAGTGTGATACTGTGTTACAATTGTGTACTCTATGTTGAGAACGGTGTTACACTGTATCATCTGCGTAACTTGCTAGAAAACATATAGAATAATGTAGCTATGTAGTGTATCGTTGCTGGAAAACTATCATGGTCCGCCTCGCGTAAAATTGTTACACAGGAATTTGATACGATACACAGTTGTATCTCTTGATATGATACGACTTAATGAGTCGTGTACTTTATGATACTTATGATATATATATTATATTATATTAAAATACTTTTAATACATATTAAATTATATTTCTTGAATGTAATGATAAAACAATTAAATCTTAATGGCATAGTCTTAATGAAATAATTGTATGCCTTTACATTTTTATTATATTTTACAATATTCTATAAGGTAGTATATTTATAGGTATCTCAGCAACAAGTACAGCAAGTACAACAACAACAGCAGCAACAAATGATACATATGAGTCCATCTAGAGCAGAGTATATAAAAGAGGATTTATCGATTAAATCTGAAACTTTGTCGAGTTGCTCCTCGCCAGTGAATGCACAAGTGGCTATGACGGGACAAGGACCATCACCTTGTATACATCAAGGATGTCCCAACCCTGCTATATCCAATAACGAATGGGAAGACGAATATTGCAGTAATGAATGTGTTGTCAGCCATTGCAGGTTTGCGTGAGCATTATATTCAATTTTTCTACTTTAGATTAATTTCTATATTTTATGGAAGGAAACATGAAATGAGCAATTGTGCTTTAAAACATTTTGCTATATATTTTTATTCTCTATTTTGTTACGATATATTCAGAGAATATATATATTTTGCAATATATTTTTGATTTATAGATTATTTGTATACTTCTAATCTATAACTTCTTTCTTTATTTTATATTTATCTATTTTATTATCTATTTCAGAGATGTATTTAACACATGGGTATCATCAAATCAAAATCCTCAACAAAACTATTCCACAGTTAAATAAGTGTTTTGCAAAAGATGACAGCATCAACTAATGGCCTCACAATAATAATGGCCCATTATTAATTTGTAAAGTAAGATATTTAAATAAAGATATAGAAATAGATATTTAAACATATACATACACACACACATATATACATGTATGTATGTATGTATATATGTATGTATGTATGTATAAACAGGGTGGGCCACTTAACTTTATGATATAAATTATTTCTATTATGCATGTAGTTACCGAAAGAGGTTTCCAAAAAAGTTTCATAATTTCAGAAGGAAAATATGATTTATGCAAACAGGTCTTTTTACATGCGATTTTTATCATATGTCAACATTATCTCCATTTTTTTAATAGGATCATATATCCTTTCTTACATAAATCAATTCTTTTCATCATTCTACACATGAAAGTATTAAGATAAAAATTATCACTCTTCTAATTATTAATTTTTTGATAATTCTACCTTAATATTTTTATCTGTGAAATATTGAGAAAAGTCGATTTATATAAATCGATATATAAGATTATAAAAAAAATATATGATCTTATTTAAAAAATGAAAATAATGTTAAAATATCGTTAAAAACGCATGTTATAAGAAATCTATTATACGCATTACATTTTCCTCCTAAAACTATGAAACTTATGTTAAAAATATTTTTCGATAACTGCATACATAACAAAATAATTTAGCCATAAAATTAGATGCCCCTATCCTGTGTATATAAATATATAGATATATGTTTGTATATGTATGTAAGTATATATGCATACATGTATATATAAGTTGATAAATGACAACTTTTTCAAGTGTCAAAGCTATTTGTGCAATGCAAATACAACACTAAAAAGGTTGATAGATCATAATATACAAATATATGGTAATAATATACAGATGTTTTGTGCCGTATATGCGTGCCAATAAGCGAGCGAGCAAGAAAGAGGAAAAAAGAAGAAAAGATTGAAGAAGTAAGGAGAGACAGAGAAAGAGATGTGAAGTAAAATTGTTTCTTCTTAGAAAGAAAACTTGAAATGTAAATTATTGAAAAGCCTTATTCAAAAACTCATTCAATACTCTGGCCAATTACTCTGGTCCTCATTTGTAACAAATGTATTGCAACTTGAGTAATTTATGAATAAGTGCATTTATACACACACGCTTATACACACACACACACACACACACACACTTATTAGATGTCAGTGATAATCATCGTTTTTATACTCTCAGATACTCCTTACTAACAACCAAGGCGTGCCAATTGTACAGACATGTTTCTTTTCTGATATTGTACAGGTGATGTCACAGTTTTCTATAATTCATTGGCGAAATAAACAAAGACTAGTTTTTTAAATATAATTATCTCAACTGTATTTCTAAATTTTTAGAAATCATAATTATGACATAATCAACAAATAACACAGTACAAGCAAATGAAAGCAGCATGACAGGTTTAAATAAGTCTCTGCACTATGTTCAATATATGTTTTGTTCATAATATTAGGGCAATGACCGAAGGTGGAAGGAGAATTTATGTAGCATATTTTATATTATGTATCATGGCCAGTAATTTTTGTATGTTTTATTTTAATACATGGAGTTTTGAAAAAATGTACACATTTATTTTTTATTAGGCACATACATATTTTTAATTGCTTGTAATGATTATTTGTTCAACCATCAACTGGCCAGCAAGTTTTATGCGGCTTTCTGCTGCGTTCTCTGTAAAAATTGTACAAACTTTTTTGATCACCTAATAATTAACGATATATATTGACCATTTTTCCAATATAATTCCAATTCATTGCATATGTAATTTCTGAGAAAAAAGTTAGACTCCCATACATATATTTTGTGTGTTGCATTACATATTATATTTTCTTTCTATGACAGTATAAAAAATTTGATTTATTTTGCATAGTATATTTCAATCTCTATGTTGTCCCTTCTGCAAGAAAGTTTATCATTCCATTTCATCCAATATGGAATACAATAGACTGATAAACACGTGCAAAGCATCTATAATCATATAATAACGTTCTCACACACAGAGAGAGATGAATATTATACTATAATACTATTAAAATCCATTATACACAGTTGTAGATGTTAAGCACCAGATAGCAAAAATAATCATTTCGACATAAAGTTACATCAAAATGACATCAAAATGATATTACATTAAATTACATCAAAATGACTATTTTTACTACTTGTGGTACTATGCATTTTAGGCCTATACAAATGTAAAACAGAATTTTATTACACAATTTATTTTTATATTAATATTATAAAGATTCTTCAATAATGCAATACAGTTTTCATATATAACATTTCGTACAGCAAAAAAATGTAATATCAGAACAGTCAAGACAACACATAAGTGCAAATTTAATATTTTTTAAACATATATTAATGTTATGCCATATGAAATCATTTCTATTTATTTTAATAGCATGTCTGCTTTATTAGCCAAAAATATCCTGCTTAGAGAGATATGATTAATTACTATTGCAATGATTTATTATAAATAATTCATATCAATAAACACAAAGAGAAAAATTACTTTAAAGTTTTTAGATATACAGAAAAAAATCTTGTGTGTTGTCGGAAATCTCCTCGAAATTTTTACATTATTTTGACGGATACGGAGATTTGGACAGTTGCGGAAAAAACTAAATATTTTGCAAAATATATACGTTTATTGTTCTTGAATTTGATCGTCAAAATCGAATAATTACATGTTTATAATCTTTGGTTAAAATGCATTTGTAATGTAGGCCTTCAAATAAATCAGTATGAAAAATTTTTGTGTATAAAGCAAAAAATATATTCTTCCATATTAAATTCAACGGTAATTTCGCGATTTCTTACGCGAATATATGAATGCCTATTAAGATGATACATCTGTTAACAATTTATCTGAACAAACTGATTTCGTTTCTTTTTTTTTTTATGAATTAATAAATGTTTTTTATATTCTTAGTTATTGTTTATATATAATATTCTTGTAAATATACAAATATATATTCTATAGGTTTATAAGTTACAATGTAAAAATAATATAGATATTGTATTATATTAATAATACATCTTGTGGTATTTTAGGAAAACATATGTTTTGTGTGTGTGTATACGCGCGTGCACGCGCATGTATGCATGTGTGTACGTTGTTTGTATGTATGTATATGTACACATATAGAATTAAAAGGATAATTACTTAATCGCTTCAATAAGATAGAATATTAATTACTTAAACAGTCCTTTTAGATAATGGGATTGTAAAATATGTTTATTGCGTTACTAGCGAATAAACGTTGAGAAATATAGAAAAATCCTCAATTGTTTATGCATAAAGCACAAAAATTTGCATAGAAATATAAACATGAAGTCATTATGGAATGTTTCGGTTATTAAAAATTGATCTACCATAGTTCCACAAAATTTATTTTCTTTATGATTGGTCATACAAAGAAAGGCCATACCTTTTTCATATATATTACATTTATCATGTCTATTATATTTTGTGTTTCTATGTAAATTTTTGTGCAATGAGCTCAAATTTTAACATAAAAAATAAAAACGCAACTTTTGCAATATTGATCATAATCATATAAATCTGTATCAGAAAGAATAAATTTAGAAGGTATCAAGCATGTACTGTAGCGCTAGACTATACATCAAATGCTAA